CCCCCCCCCCCCCTGGCTGAACTGCTCTAGAACCGCCACTGCCAATCGTTCACCCAAATCTCGGTTGTCTCTTTTGTAGAACTTTCCACTGGTCAGGTTCTTGCTTACTGTTCCTCACAGTGTTTGTCTTCCAGGATGAATGGGACACATGGTTTGAGGTTCTTGTCCAGATTCTGGCCCTTCCTCTGTTGTACTAAATGTATGTCTGTTGTAAAAACCTCTTGAGATCTCAGACACCTCAAGTACATATCCTACCTCCAGCAAGAGCTGCTTTTCCAGGCTGTAGTGGTTTGTGGGGAAGTACTCAAGCCAGGATCTGTTGGTTTGAAAAATAAATCCCTGAAAACAGCCTTTTGTACATTTGATCCCTGTCAAAAGTGTAACCACTTCTTGAGGTCCTGGCAGTACGCCGACCTGCATGCTCCAAGATGTGGGAAGATTACATGCCGTACTTTTCATCTGTGGGAACTTTGAGGCTAATGTCTACTTTTATTTGACTCGTGTAAAATTGTGGATGATATTGATCATTCCTAGCACTGCTGCATCACGCCCCTCGGACTAGGGTTCGAGTGTCTGCCATGGCTCCGTGTGTGGAGTTTGCATGTTCTCCCCATGTCGTCATGGGGTTTCCACTGGTTACTCTGGTACTCCTGAGGTTAATTGGGGTTACCAAATTGCCAATTGGTGTGCAAGTGTGCATGAATGGTGTGTGAGTGTGCCCTGTGATTGATTGGTGCTTCGCCCTGGGTTGTTCCCTGCCTTGTGCCTGTAGTCTCCAGGATAGGCTCCAGAACTCCTGCAACCCTTAAAATGACAAGCAGAAAATGGACTGATGGATGGATGGATGATCCTCTCCCTTAGGTCGATAGCTAAACCCAGAGGAACTGTGCGCTCCCCTTTTTAATGCAGGTTCCAGCTGTACTCAAACTATAGACGTTCTTGGTATGACCACGCGGTGGCACTGTTTGCCTGTGTGAGAAAGACATGTTTCGTTATAAGGAAGAACACGTTACCTGTACGTTCTCTGCATCTGCCCAAGAGGTTGACAAAATGTTGAATAACCTGGAAACGAATCCCTACCCCCCTCCAAAAAAAAAAAAAAACTGGTCAGGTCCAGGGGATAATGTGGTTACCCTGCTGTGGAACCTCCAAACATAGTTTAAGTCATCGGTCTCCCTCGCGTACTGTAGGTTCCCCTCTGTACATGAGCCACATGGTGAGGGACGTGTGGTCAGCTGCCCTTCCATGACACCGATCCCTCTTTCTCCCAGCGGTTTGCCCAGCCTCGTGCTTGTTTTGTGGTCCATAGCTTGGCCACCATAGGCTGCTTTGGCCATTTTCCAAAGCAAAGCGCGCTTCCGAGAGACGCTGCTGTTTACCCCCGTCTCCTGATTAGCCCCGCAGCCCAAACACGCATGTTAATGAGTGTGTTTTGGCCCTACATTAACCTTGATGCGAATACCCTTGAACTCCTCCCTGTCCCTCCCCAGCTTCATTTATGTCTCTATGCAGTCTCGTTAGACTGCTTATTATTGCTGAGACCCACTGCCACTGTTATTATATTTTAATAATTCAGACACATTCCAACCCGCAGGAATTTCCTCTTGTCATTTCTTTACGTATCATAGGATCCCTAAAACAGTTTTAAAAATTCGTTGCTATCATACATCACCCGCTTTTTGCGGACAGGAAAATATATAAGGTACATGCTTAATGATTCCAGCTGGTGTTTACCAGGGGGGGATAAGCGGGGGAAATGATTATTATGGCTAGATGTATGATACCCTAATTGGTTGCACTGTGCGTTGTGATGTTGATGTACCGTGAATATAATAATTCTATTAATTCACGTTTTCGCGGGTATTGGTGTGGCTGTGTCGTTTAAAGTCAGTTTATGGAAAGTTAAACTGCAGAATGCCATTATTTGAAGTAGGTCTATGTGTGTGATGAATCAAATAATCCATCTGACCATTAACCCCACCCCCCACCCCCGAAGACCGCTGTCAGTTTACAATAATGGCCTCGTATAATCTCATTCTGCAGAAGGATGGAGTTCTTCTGTATATCGCCATCGTGTCAATCCCGTTCTGAAATAAGGAATAATTTATTCCCGACCTATAGAAACTTCGCGTAGAGAAATCAATGACTCTTTAAATTTATCTTAGCCTAGACTTACGCATTATTTTTTTTACTTCATGATTGTATATGAAAAACGTTAGTTTTTTCTTACTAGGTGCGTCGATTTGCAATTAAAAGTGAGCTGTATTTCTTCGTTTCAAATATGTCGTATTAGGTAATAATTTTCAACAAACGATTTTCTAGCATTAGACCTATAAATATTTACGATAAGATGTTTATTTTCTCTTACTGGACATCTGTCCACTGTCGGACAGATGTCTGTAGCCTACAGTAGATGTCAGAAGGGTCTAAATATTTTAACAAGAATTATTGGGGTCAACTCTTCTCTGCAGGAGATGTGAACAGTGGGCTGTTACATAATTTATATTGATTTTGATATGGCCTCGCGTACTTTCATGATTGATTTTTAAAGGGGTGTCAAAGCCTGTGTGTCACCGATGAAACATTTTTTAACACTGATCTTCCGAAAGTTTAAAAAATCGACTATACAGTTGGATATTTTTAGGAAGAGGAAAATGGCACTGAGAAGCATCTTCCATGTGGTGACTGGGTTTAAGTAAAGAATTCCCTCTTTGTGTGTCTTTTTGTAGTTCCCATCTAACTATTTGAACGTTATAACGTTAGATACGGAATACTTAAAATGCAAGACTTTTAGCTGTGTCCTATTGTTTCGTCCCCCATCCCCTCGTGAGCAGATAAAAAGCGAGACAAAAGATTAATTTAAACGGTAAACCGAATTATGTTAATCGATTAATTCATTTGAATATAAATGATCATTCAGTGTGTGTGTGTGTGTGTGTGT